AAAAAAGTAGAAAAAAAAATAACAAGTGTTCTCTTAAACCTAGAGAGTAAGGTATAATCTGGTGTTTTATAAGTAACTTAAATGTTATAACACTTGACATCCTTCAGATAACTACTTCAGAGCTTTATTAACAAAATTTCTCAGGTACATGGGAGAGCATCCTTGTTGGCATCAGTTTTAATATGTTTTTCTTATTGATATCTGACAGGTATACAGTGGAAATTTTGTTATTCCATTAGTGAATACTAACTGGGTATAAGAAATCAAAAGTGATGTCTGTTGGGAATGCAGGCCTAGATAAATCATTCTGTGGTGCTGACATGTACTAGAGGAAGGCTTGAAGAGGGAAAATAGTGAACAAATTTTCTCTGATTAGTGTTGGGTCTTCATTTTACCCCATATTTCTGGAATCTTAATCTAAATCAGAGTCAAGCCCAGTTTAGGCAGGAAATTGCTTAATTAGGTCCTGTAGCTTTAATGCCAAAAAATATTGAAAAATGTGTTAGAAATGAAATACAGACACTATCAGAGAACATGTAGAATTCTTTGCCCGTGTTTCTTCCAGTTCTTGCACAATTACGTTTATATGTAAGTCAAAGAGACCTCTTTCCTCTGAATGTCCTTTGTTGGTTTCAACAAGTCTCCTTTTCCCTTCTAAAGAATCAAGCTCTTAAAATATTTGTTCCTTGAAAAGCTTTTCATTTTGCCTGTTGAATGGACAATTTTGGGGGAATTATTTTGGTATCTGAATAAAACTGGAACATTTCTTTCTTAGAGCCAGTGATTTTCCTGCATTTTTAATTCAAATCAAGTTATATCTAAAACAAAGATCACTTTTGGCTTTAGGCTAAGCATAAAACAGGCAATAAAGGAATACACTGGGAAGGAAAGCTAGGGGCAAAGAATTTGTAATGGAAGGAAATTATTTTTACAAGTAATGTAAATAAAATTTTATTTCAAGATGCAACCTGATTCACCCAGTACTTCAAATCATCCTTTATTTTTTTTCATAGTATTTATCAGTTTGTAATGTACAACATAATTTATTTATTGTGTTGATTGTCTGTCTCTGCTTCACTAGAATGTCAGCTACACGAGAGCAAGAATTTTTGTTTTGCTCATTGATGTATCCTGAACACTGAGACCAGAGTCTGTCACATATTAGTTGCTCGGTCAATATTTGTGGACTGAGTAAATAAATACCGTGATCTATCCCACTTCATCCCTCAAATTTTGTATTCACTCCTTCCTGGTAATTATTATATTGTTATAATTCACATGAAGTATGTAGTTAACTAATTTGTAAAAATAATAACCATCTAGTAGGAGAAGAGAATTTTAGAAATTATATCCTAGAAATGTTTGAAGAAGTAATTTGGAATGCTTGAGTTTTTAATAAATTTAAGTGAAACCCATAGTGTTCCTCAGATGCCCCCCAAATTTATCAGGAAATGGAGGATGGAGAACTTTCAATTAAAAATATATTTTGAATAATCTTTCTCAGATGGGAAAGCTGACAACCATGCCTGCAAGTCTGATGTGTGCATCTATAAGTGTGCATGCAGCCAAAGAAGAGGAATCTAAAAAGCAGCTAGTGAAACCAGAGCAGGTAAGTCGCCTACAAATGATTGTGATTTTTTTATATAACATAATAAATATGATGCAAAAGCTATGAGTATTCTGTTACCACTTCTGTTCATCAAACAAAACTCATGTATACAGACAACAGTTTAGTGGTTACCAGAGGGAAGAACGGGATTGGGGAGGTAGTTAAGGATAAAGGGGGTCAAATATATGGTGACAGAAGGGAATTTAACTCTGGGTGGTGAACACACAATGCAATGTACATATGACTTATTATTGAATTGTACACTTGAAGCCTATATAATTTTATTAGCCACTGTCACCCCAATAAATTTAATAAAAAAGTCTTTGAAATATTTGTTAGGCACATTTTATAAGTTGAGAGAATAGTTATAAGGTGTCTCCAACCACGTATTATATTTAGTCCAAACATCTAAAATCCTAATTCCAATGAAAAACAATTGGTGATTTTTCTTAATGAATAATTAATGACTAGTACAGGGTCTTAGTACTTCTAAGCAGTCCGATTTTCTTTCTTGAAAAATTTATACAGTACACCTGATATTTGGAAGCCTTAGTTTAAGAAGTTCATTAAGATCTCAATTTTGAAAGTGACCTTGCATATTTTCTAGTTCAGCCTTCTGTATGTTAGTTACTGTAATGCCCTTTACAGTAGGCACACTAAGTGGCCGTTTAACTTCTATATGAATAAAACTGAATAAAGTAACCCAAGGCAACCCATTCCATTTTCTGTTAGCTCTCTTTTAGTTTGAGATCCTTCCTTAGGTCAGGCACAAACCTGTGTCATAGTAATTTCTACCCATTAGCCCTGTATCTCTTGCTTTGGTACCATACAGTAAAAATCTCATTTCTCTTCCACAAAACAACTCTTCAGATATCAGTTATACTTTAAGTAGTTTTGGTTCCTGGATAAGTATATTAGTAGCTTTATCCATTATTTATATGTCATAGCTTTGAGTTCCTTCACTATCATGATCATTCAGGAACTGGTTAACATTTTCTTAACAAACATTCAGGAACTGGTTAACATTTTCTTCAGGTGTAAGTGTTTTGACCATTGCTCAATAGTCAGATTCTTCTCTTGTTATAGATAATATATTTCTAGTGAAGCTGCCTAAGATCACATTCATTTTTTTAATATATTTTTGTTTTGGGTCTTCACAATCAGCCTTCCTTATAACCTTTGACCATGACATAATGAATTTGCAGTTCTCTAAAATTCATTAAACATCTTTACATGGGCTTCTGCTAAGCTGTGTCTTTTCCCAAACTATACCTGTGTGCATGGACATTTTTTGGACTCAGTTACAGGTACATGTATGCCTATTTAACTTTCATCTTGTTGATCATGCCAGCCTGTTAATATCTAACTATGGTTCCAGATTCTGTTTACCATTGTACTATTTGTCTTTTCCAGCCTTAAATCGTCCTTAAGATTTATCTATATACTTAGAAATGCGTACTTGAGTCAGACAGGTCTGAATCTGAATCTTGACTCCACCACTGAGAGTTGGATGACACTGGACAGAATTCTTATTGATGGCATAAATATTCTGTTGTATGAATGTACCATTATCAAATATATAATTTCTATATTTTTAATTTAGCATATTTCCAATAATTTTGTTAATATAATCGTGCTTTGTTGAAATACCTTATACATAGATCTGCATGCACATCTATAACTATTTCCTTAGAATAAATCTCAAGGAATGGAATTATAGGTCAGAATGCATGAAAAATATCAATACATTGCCAAGCTGACATGCATAAAATTTAACAAAAAATATTTTCTGAGCTCCTCTTGCATGTGTGTGAGGCACTGTTCTAAGCACTGGGTAAAGTTTTATTAATTTTTATTAGCAGTTTGGGATAAATTCACTTTCCTATGTACTTGCATCTCTCATTATTTTTCCTCTTTTATTAGTCTTAGAGAGATGATGCTTTTAAGCCTACCTTGATACTCCCATCAAAATCTAGGTAGGAAGTTCAAAATCTAGGTAGGAAGATAAACACCATTTGTCCTTAATTTATGGTTTTTCTGAATTTTAAAATAAATTTGTGCTCTTTATTATATTATGATATACATAGGATTCCTTAATTTTAGTGTTTTCTCCAGTAAATTTTAAATAGAATTTAATTGAATTACTTGTTAAAGTTTGTTGCTTGCTAAGTGCTAGGGATTATTCACAAAGTTAAGATCTAATCTTTGAGGAACTTAGAATTTCTGAAGGAATGAAAATGTGATTTGCATGCAACATTTCCAGGTACTTTTATTTTGTAAAGTGAGTTATGCCTCTGTTTAAATCTATTTACAGTAAAGCCTCTATTAAACCAAAACACTGTATGAATAAGGTGTTCTGATTAATTAAATCTTCTAGTAAACTTGTAACTCTCCTTAAACATCTTTTTAAAAAGTATTAGTATACCCTGCCTTATTAAGTATCATCTAGTGAATATAATTTTATCTCTCTTTATTATAAAACTCTGGAGAGCTGTGGGGTGATTATTTTTTAAACCATGAAATTTGCAGTATTCATATCTGTAAAGTGGCAATTGAGCTGTGTGTATATATGATCGGCCATGGACATCACTGGTTGTTTCTTTAAGTCTTTCTGTGATGTGAATTTGTGTCATTTTCTTGTTATTTGCTTGTTTTCAGCAAAAAAATAACAGAAAAGAATATTGATTTGAGAGTTCTAATTTCTTTGGTTCAATTTAATATAAATATGGTATTATAGCTTACTGAATCTAATCATAATTTCTAATTGGGTACAAGTTATATTTATACAATAAATGGCATTTAAACCCAGGGCGTCAAATTCATAATGAGATTGTTCTTCCCTCAGCAGAAACAGAATTTTCACAGTAGAGTTGAAATCTTTTTTTTTCAGCTTTACAGAGATGTATTTGACAAATAAGAATGGTGTATATTTATAGTATACAACTTGATGTTTTGACATGGATATACATTATGAAATGATCACCATAATCAAGCTAATTAATATATTTGTCACCTCACATAGTTACCATTTTCTTGTGTGTGTGTGTGCGTGTGTGTGAGCACACGCACGTGTGTATGTTACACTTAAGAGCTATCCTCTAAGCAAATTTCAGGTATACAATACAGTATTGTTAACTATGGTCACCATACTGTGTATTAGATCTCCAAAACTTATTCTTCTTGCATACTCTTTGACCTCACTATTTCCCCCCATCCACACTCCACCCGTGGTAACCACTATTCCACTTTCTGCTTCTGAGTCTATTTTAGATTCTACATATAAGTGAGATTATACAGTATTTCTCTTTCTGTGTCTGGCTCATTTCACTTAGCGTAATGTCCTCTAGGCTCATCCATGTTGTCAAAAATGTGAGGATATCCTTTTTAATGGTGAATAATATTTCATTGTATGTGTGTGTTTTTATGTATATATATGCACACATACATGCATGTATTTTTTACAAGAAGTCAAGGTTTTATTTCAAATAAACATACTATAGCTACAGCTATCACAGAAAACTGAAGGCAGCTAGGATGGGATGCAATCAACTCTCTTTTTACTATATTGAATTTAAGATATTTGCCACATCCAAGTAAAAATATCCAGGAGGCAACTGAATAACCTAAATGTGCTCAAACCATACAAAGTAGCTTTAAAATATTCCCATTAATATGAGGCAATATAACATTAATGACTGAAACCTGATTTTAGAACCAGACTGCCTGGACTTGAATATTTGTGCACCTGTAATCTTGGGCAAGTTAATTGTGCCTCAGCTTCCTTATGTGAAATGCACAAAACACTACTTACTGCAAGATTTTTTAATAGATTATGTAAAGTGCTTAGAATGCCATACAACATATTAACTGCTGTGGAAATGTCTACCCTTGGTTGAAACAAAAAAAGCTATTCTAGTTCCAAATGGTCACAAACACTTATTTTGAGTCGTGTTCCATGAAAGGTGGAAGCAAATGTAACTCGCAAACAGGGTGCTTTAAACAATCTGCTTTTAAGTAGCAGTTTTCAAAGGCAAGTTCCTGATCCTTAAAACATAGCTATTTATGATGCAATTATGAGTAACCAGCTTTCCCTGAGCTTAACTGTAATGCAACAGATTCAGTTTCCTAACCAATGAACTATGTTCTTTGTTGTACCATAAACCACTTGACATCTTTCAGCAAGAAAAAAAAAAACACTAAATCTGAATAGTGAAGACATCACACAATGAATTAAGACAGTTAGTTTTCTTTAAATATTTCTTTAGGGGAGGGGACACCTACTCAATTAGAGGCCTTTTATTTCTTTACACCTATCATGACATGAATTCATAGGGAATGGGTTCCAGCAGCTCGGGCTCCTTTCCATTGGTTCTCACACAGTGTTTGTCTCTCAGAGGCCCAGGCTGGCACTTCATTTGAACCCAGATACCTTTCTCTTTGGCTTCCTTTTTTTGATTAGTTTCCTTCACACGTTTCAGGAAGCTTTCTCAGCTTTTAAAGTGCTTAATATGCTCAATATGTACGTTAATTATCTTGGCAAGAATCTTGCCCTTCACTTGTTTGTTTACAACAATTTTAATCACATGCTGGGTAACATTGTAGGCTCTTCCAGTTTTGCCACGGTAGCATTTGTGGGGCATTCCTTTTTGAACAGTGCCCATTCCCTTGATGTCTACAACATCACCTTCCTTATAGATTCATATGTATGTGGTCAAAGGAAAAACTCCATGTTTTCTAAAAGGCCTAG